CAATAAATACTTGGTAGAAGTTCTTTCTGAACGTCACTCCAACACAAAGCCTAAAGAAGTTCCCTAATTCAATTTTACTTCTCTTTCTGTGAAATGAAAACAAGAGGCTCTGCAACAAGCAGAACAAGAGAGTAACCAGTGGGCAATGAAAACAATTATCCTCTGAATTAGGAACAAACTTGTGTGCGAAGGACAGTAGGATCATGAAGGAGAAGTTCATCCTTCTGCTGAATCTGTATTTGGTCTTCCGTGTCCAAGCCATTCGAGGTGAGTGTTAAATTTAGTCTCTTTTATCCTTCCATGGTTGCCTTTCTTTTTGTATGTGTCTCCTTTCATCTAATGCTCTTCCTCATTTTCTGCTTGCTTTTCTGCTTCCTTCTGCCACTGCCTCCTAGGCTGTAGGAGAACAGGCATCTTGGTCAAAACCAGTGTGTAGCAGATGCGTGTGCAGACAAACCACTTGTAGGTTGCTGGTATGGACAGGTGAAATACTGGACAAATGGATGAGTGGTTAATGAGTGAATAGGAAGGAGGCATAGATACCAAGAGTTAGTGCAACTATCGGAAAATGAAGGGCTGTGTGACTCACATGGCAGTGTACAGGAATAGAGAAAGGTGGACAGGTACAAGACGTGTGTGTGTGTGTGTATGGGGGTCTACCAACAGCAACATCCAGATGACCTGATTTTCTTCTTGTGGAACTGCTGACAGATAAAGAGACCATCTGCCATATTCTTTCCCTTCCCTCCCCTCCCCTTCCCTTCCCTTCCCTTCCCTTCCCTTCCCTTCCCATTTGATTTAGTAGAGCTGGGAATGGGAAGTATCTCCGTGGGTCACCCAGTGCACCATGTCTGCATCAAGACTAAGCCTGTACCCATCCTAAAGAGATCAGAATAAAAGTGGTGTTGGAAGGTGTGCCTCATGGACATCTCCCTTTTTCAAGACAGATGCCAATGCCCGATTTCTGCGTAGCTTGGGGAGTTTTGCTGCCTGGCCCAGTCTCAGTTGCAGGACATCTGCCTTTGAGATCTCTGAGGGAAAATGTGTTACAGTGTAGGTCAGGCTGGTCTCTTGGCATTCCAAGCCTTAGCCTTACTTTCAGACGATCCCTTTCTATGTAGGATGCTCCATTTTCTGGTTATGCACGGAATGCCACCATTGAACTTTGTACTGGTTTTTGGCAGAAGACCAAAGTAAGGTCTCCTCTCGTACAAAGACAAAATGATCCCCATATGCCTGCTGACCATGGTATCTACTAATCCCTGGAAACAATCAGTGTTTGAAAAGTGATACCTTGGCTAGAATTATGTGCCTCCCAGGCACAGAGGTCTCACTTCATTGCTGTAATCTGTAGCTTGGTTTGGACATTGCATTTTGTGGAGATGTGCAGAATGGCCACAGCTCTTCCTAGTTTCACCAGGAGTCATTTTTTGATGCCATGAGGAGTGTGCTGTTCTCAGTGCCTTTCCCATGCTGCCATCAGAATCACCGTGCCTCCTGCTTTCACTGTTTACATTTTTAATAACTGCCTCTTTTTTTTGCCTGAATTCCTTTCTCAGAGAGTACCTCTATGAAGAGCCTGAGCTGCTACAATGACTACAACTCACAGGTGACCTGCACATGGATGGAGCATTCAGAAGCTCATGCCCTCGTTGGTATGAGTCTTTACCGAAGGGATAATGCTACAATGTAAGTACCTGAAATGTGCAGTGGTGGATAAAAGTCCAAAGGGAACTTGTCCACAACTTGGAGTCCTGACCAATTATGAAACAAGGTCAGCTCATAGATGAAGAATAGTTGCCTAAATCCCAAATTGTAAGGTAATGCTGGTGAGTAGATAGAAATACCTCCAGGACTTCACAAGCCTTGGGCTGACTCTTTTGTTTATGGGTACGTACGCACAGGTGTGGTCAGTCCCACCCATACTTCAGGCACATCCCCGGTTTCCTTGCTAATACCCAACTTTTAAAAACAGCAATCGTGCTGAATAATGCTTGCTGACATACAGTTGGCTAGGAGACTCCATCCTATCCTGGAAGACAGTATTTGGCCTTAGATATTCACAACTTAATATTTCTCAACTGAACTGGAACAATGTAATATACTGGGCATGAAGCCATAAGCACAAACAAAATTCCAGAGAGTACAAAAAGAAGCAACGCATCTCTCCAGCAGCTCAGGCTACTGCAAGCACACAAAGCTTGTCCCTCTCCTGACTAGTTTAAAATATTGTTTCTAATTTTCATGATGCTCCTTGGCCTGGAGAAAGGCTATCTAAAAGGATGATTAACATTCTGGATGAAGTCTTTAATGAATACATCAGGTCCCTTGACAGAACAGAACTACTAAGGCTACAGAAGTACATTTGGGTTGGAGAGTGTTTTTTCAAAGTGTCTGTCTGGGACTGCAACATGAATGTCTTCAAGAAGCTAGGGATCATCAGAAACTTTACTGCCTTCCACTCCGAGTAAAAGGCGCATTTGCATTACATTATTTTTCATCATATGGTTTCTCACATAAAAAAGATGAGATTACATAGAATGAGGCTAAAAAAGAACAAAAATAGGCTGGTACCAAACTGTAACATTCTGCTGCACAACTTGGAAATGGGAAGGCATTTGAGAAAAATCCTAGTGTTAAAAATGTTTGTCCTATTAACTGATGCATAACAGGACTAATAGGTACAGTGAGAAGAGGATATCAGTGCCTGAGTAAATTATAACAAAAGAATGAGAGGGAATTGGCTTCAGACATTTAATTGTGCATTGACTGTAGATCTCCAAATCAGATCTTCATGGATCACTTTCTCTGTACACAGGGAGAACAAAATATGAGCCAGCAGTGAGCCCAGGTGGCCAAGAAGGCCAAAGGCATCCTGGCTCCTATCAGGAATAGTGTGGCCAGCGGGAGTAGGCAAGTGATACTTCCGCTGTACTCAGCATTGGTGAGGCTGCACCTCAAATACAGTGTTCAATTTTGGGACCCTCATGACAAGAAGGATATTGGGGCACTGGAGAGTGTCCAGAGAAGGTCAACAAAGCTGGTGAGGGGTCTGAAACACAAATCGTATGAGGAGCAGCTGAGGACACTGGAGTTGTTTAGCCTGCAGAAAAGGATGCTGAGGGGAGACATCAGCCTCTACAACTGCCTGACAGGAGGCTGTAATGAGGTGGGTGTTGGTCTCTTCTCCCAAGTAGTAAGTAGTAGGACAAGAGGAAATGGCCTCAAGTTGTGCGAGGGGAGGTTTAGATTGGACATTAGGAAAAATTTCTTCACTGAAGGTGTTATGAGGTACTGGAACGGGCTGCGCAGGAAAGTGGTCGAGTCCCCATCCCTAGAGGTATTTAAAAGACGGGTAGATGAGGTGCTTAGAGACATGGTTTAGTAGTGGACAGGTACGGTTGGCCTCAATGATCTTAAAGGTCTTATACAAGCAAATGACTCTATGATTCTATGAAAAGCCTTACTGTTAAATTGTTTGTCATATTAACTGATGCATAACAGGACTAATAGGTACAGTGAGAAGAGGATATCAGTGCTTGAGTAAGTTATAACAAGAGAATGAGAGGGAATTTGCTTCAGACATTTAATTGTGCATTGACTATAGGTCTCCAAATCAGATCTTCATGGATCACTTTCTCTGTACACAGGGAGAACAAGAAGATGCTTTGCAAACGCCAGACAGAAAATGACTTACATGGGGCTCCAGACTCCTATGTGCACTGGCTTTGTCACACCACTACAGAGAGTCTTGACATGGGGGTAGATTATATTTACAGCTTCAAACCTAACAAGACACTTCAAGCAGAACTAAATGTTGATCTTTTTCAAAATGGTAAGGATTAAATACCAAATTCTCATTGTCCAATGAATATCAGGGAGCTTTGAGAATGTATTTGCCATTCAGTCACAAAGTGAATTCCACTTCCATTGTTAGAAGTACCGAAGACCTCCACATCAAGAGGATGGGGCAGGGAGGGGAAAGGGCAAGTCTCTGGGAACAGCTGGACCTGGAAGGGGGTCTCAAGCAGGAGCTGCTTGGTGGGGCAGGGATAAGATACTCTGGAAATGGGGAAGCTTGCCTAGGTATTTTCTTGCCCTGTTCATGTCCCTGTCCTCACTGTCTCCTCTCATGGGTTGTACCTTCACATTCCAGTTCAGACCCTCCCACCTAAAAACCTCTCAGTTCAGACCCTCCCAACTCAAAATCTCTCAGTACAGACCCTCCCACCTCAAAA